TGCAAATATCGCTGTGGTTGATACGGAGTATGTTGTATAAAAGTACACTGGCACACCATGCACGTATCAATGCATAAACAATAAGATGGGTTAACAAGGCTTGCTGTGCAGTACTGATACTGGCAGTCTGGCAATGCAAAAATTCTAAAGTTTTTTTATTTTTATTTCCGGAGCGTCAACATCAACAGAAGACTTCTGACTGATGAATATAAGGCCGCGTTTAGTTCGGCCACCGAATCGGCGCCGCCGGATTCGTTGCGCCACTGTAGCTACTGTAGCGTTTTGTTTTTATTAGGTAATAATTGTCCGATCGTTGACTAATTGGGCTTAAAAGCGTTAAATCTCGTAAAGTATAACTAAACTGTGCAATTAGTTTTGATTTCGTCAACATATATAGTACTCCATGCACGTATCGCAAATTTGATGTGATGGAGAATCTTCTTTTTACATAGTGCCAAATTCTGAAATTTTAGATAACTAAACATGGCCTAAGTTTTGCACTTTGTAGTCATTAAAGTTTGCAGACATGCATGTATTGTTCGAAAAATACTAAGCTTTTCAGACATCCTATATATCTAAGGCTGTGTTTAGTTCCTAAAAATTTTTCTAAAAAGTGCTACAGTAGCTATCACATTAAATCTTGCGATACATGTACGAAGTATTAAATATAGACGAAAAAAATTAATTGCACAGTTTGATTAAAAATCGCCCGCGACGAACGTTTTGAGCCTAATTAATTCATAATTAAACATTAATTATCAAATAAAAATGAAAATACTACGATAGCTAAATTACTAAATTCTCTTAAACTAAACACAACCTAAGCGGACCAATACACAAGCATGTGAATTGGACTCCACGCCATAACTGAAAGGTTTATTGTGCTGACGAAGCGCAACTAACTGAAACGTGGCCCACTGACTTCAAGACGAGCCCCAAATCGGGGGAACGGCGCACGGCCGATAGACACGGTGAGGGTTGTTTAGTTGGGCCAAGTTTGTGTAGGTAAATTTTACATAGTGAAGATTTTTTACTATAGCATTTCGTTTGTATTTGTGAATTATTATTCAAACATTGATTATTTAGACTTAAAAGATTCGTCTCGCAAAGTTAAAGTAAACTGTGCAATTAGTTTGTAATTTCGTCTACATTTAGTACTCCATACATGTACCATAAATTTGATGTGATGATAATCTTCTTTTTATATAGTGCATTTTTTTTTAGAGTTTGGAAGTATTAAACAAGGGCCGTATAAAATTGCCAGGCCCTCTATTCTGGTACCGCAATGCCTTCTGTGGCACACAGTTGGGGAGCATTCAAGATTTGCAGGTTGCAGCATCTATCATAGCGATCCCCCTCCAGGCCTCCACGGCTCCACCTAGAGTTCCACAGAAATCTTCACGGTGGAAACAGGAAGCAGGCCTTGTTTAGATTGCAAGTTCCACATAAATCTTCACGGTGGAAACAGGAAGCAGGCCTTGTTTAGATTGTAAGTTTTTTTACTTTTTCTCTATCACATCAAATCTTTAGACATATGCATGAAGTATTAAATGTAGATAAAAAAATAACTAATTACACAGTTTGATTATAAATTACGAGACGAATCTTTTGAGCCTAGTTAAACCATGATGGGACAATAATTGTCAAATACAAACGAAAATACTACAATGCCAAATACTGATTCCTAGCTCCAATCTAAACAAGCCACTGGTTAAAAGCAAAGAGATTCAAGAAGGGACGACAGCGAGCAGCATGCAGCAGCAGGAACAGCGCCATACCTCTATCTGAGTATTGACTCAGCGAATGAGGTCGCCGAGGAAGGACAGCTATCAAGGACGCATGGCAGAAAGATGAGTGAGGTCTGAGGAGCAGCTTAAGGATTAGCCATTGCCCCCTTGGCGGGATGTCAGAAGCTCAGGTAGAGAGAGGGCGAGACACAGGATGACAGGACCCAACATTTCATGGTGCTCTGAGCTCCTAGGGCTCCAGTGGTCCCATCGACGTAGTGCGGATAAAAATTTTGCAAGGAAAAAAGAAAGCAAAGGAACCATTATCATGTTGATTTTTTCTTTTCCTTTTATTGAAAAAAAAATTTAACAAGTTTTTTAAGCGCAAATTTGACGTGCACATAGATGATTATATGCTCCACCTATGCATATAGTTTGTGCCTTTGTGGGAATTTTCGTGAACTTCAACGGGTCCACGTCCACCCTGAGCCTTATGTTGATTTTTCCATTTTCTTTGTTGCACAAAGTTTTAAGAAAAGTTTTTTTAAGCTCAAATTTTACGTGCACATAGACGAACGGGAAAAGTATTCGGTACAAACCATTTCTGAATATTTACGATCTCAAATGTAGAACATTTTAGCTATAAAGTTTAAATCTTATTTAGCGCTACAATTTTGATAAGTATCCCGTTCGAGAACTTTTGGTAAGTATCCGTTCGAGAACGTTTGAAAAAATGAATGGATCTCAATTATGATAATTTAAAAACGAATATTTAGTACTCTAAATAATTTAAATAAAAAACTTGTCAACTACAAAGTGGTAGACCACACTGAACATCCCAACTTTAGTATACAACAAGTCAACATTCGAGGTCGTTTGAGAATTCTAAATTTTTTAATTTTCAAATCAAAGAAAATAAAAATAAGTATTTATGACTCTAAACGATTTTAAATGAAAAAATTGTCAACCACATATTTGTAGATCGCATCGAGAATTATACAACCACATATTTATAGATTGCATCGAGAATTATACTTTGGTATAGACCATTTCAACATATGAGGTCATTCAAAAATTCTAAATGGAAACGAACTGATCATAGATCAGTACGTTGGGTTCCTTATGGTGGAACCTGTCCACCCGGGCTTAAGTCCTCGACTTGGTACGACTGCTCGTATTTTTTGGATTTTTTTTTCTAGGATTTAATGACGCCATGTTTTCAGTGGTAGGCGACGTCCCCGTCGACAACGTGGCACCTGTGGTAACTTCGTGAATCTCAAGATCTGCTGGCTCAGTCATTCGAAAGTGCTCACCCTTTCAGTGGTAGGTGATATCCCGTCGACAATGAGGAGCCTTCGGAGATGCTCACTCATAGAGGTAAGGTTTATGTACGTGTGTTCACATAAAAGAGTGTGTACTATTGTCTATAAAGATTTCACTCGTGCTCTCAAACCATCCATTAGATACAAGACGATATTTTAATTTCTATCTCTTCCACGTCAGACAAGATCATACAAGTACGTGGCATAAGGCTGACGTTATTTCTCTGTTCACGGTTCACGCCCTTACAATACGCGTTACGAGTTCAATTTTGTGTTATTTGTGCCTAAGCTTGAAACGTTACTTGCTCCACGTCGATGTTCTCATGTATTCGGGACAGGGCTCCCAAGTCCCAACATACGTTGAGCACTTTGGGCAGGAAATCACTGAAGCTTAATCCAGCTCATGTTCTGGAAATAGTAAGTTGGATCTCACGCCCTATTCGTTTATGCTGAAATTTGACTTATGCTAATACTTATGCTGATATATTATAAGAGAAAAATACTATTCCATAGCTAAAAAGTAGCTCAAGCTTATTTCTGGAGGCAGCAATCAATGTCAATCACATACCCTCACATTCATATCGCAACACTGACAGCGAGCACAATGGTCGGACTCTGTAATCTGTAGTACTAAGACTGCCTCCAACGATGAGAACGCAAATAAGAGACCTATTCCGGATTTGAGTCACCTACAGGAAAAAAAGTCACAGATCCAAATCCCTCGTTCTTCAACAACGAACCCAAAACAAGACTCGCTGTTTCCTCCGTCCGTCCGGTGCTGCTTGCTCCTCCGTCTTCGTCTTCCCCGCGGCCGGCCACCGAGCTGCGAGCTCCGGCGCGAGATCCGGCGAGGCGCTGAGGAAAGGCCGACACAGGGAGTGGACGGAGGTAAGAAACGCCGCGGGCTTAAGCAGAAGAGGAGGGAAGAGGGAGCAGAGAAGGTACAACGGCGGCCAGACGCGCAGAGCAGTTAGCAGCGCACCGACGGCCGGCGCGCGACGCCGCAGGTCCGCCACGGCGGCCGGCCGACCAACGGCGACGGCGAGGCACGCACAGAAGGCGGCAGCACGGGAGAGACGCAGCAGCAGAGCGGGCGGGAGACGAAGAAGAAAACGAAGCAAGCGCGAGAGGACAAGGGGGCGGAGAGCGGACGGACCGTGGGAGGCGCCGCCGCCGATTCCGCCACCGCGTCGGGACGGAGCGAGCGACGAAGAGGATGGGGAATGGTGCGTTCTTTTTTCTTTTCTTTGTTTGGCCGACGAACGACGGATGAGATTTGCGTCGTCTCTCTGTCGAGACGTTTATTTGCGCTTCGGATCGGCTTCGACGCAAAATGCGTCGTCAGTTTGGGTCATCCGTTGGAACATATTTTCGGTACCCAAAAACACTGTGAACTACCTATTTTGTGTTTAGGTTGCGTCGTTGGAGATAGTCTAATGTAGTAGTAGCAAAGCATCATGGTCTTGTTTAGTTCCTCTTTCAAAAATTTATATCTATCCCATTGAATGTTTAGACACATACATAGAGTATTAAATATGGACTTAAAAAAATAATTAATTGTACATATTGCGACTACTTTATAAGACGAATCTTTTAAACCTAATTAGTCCATGATTTGACAATAAAGCGCAACAATAACACACGTGCTAATGACAGATTAATTAGGTTTAATAAATTCGTCTCGCAGTTTATCGACGAATTATATACCGAACACCCCATACGACACCCCAATGGTCTCGTTCGCTTCGCTGAAAAAACAAGCCGAAACACTGTTCCGACTGATTTGTTGTGAGAGAAAAACACTGTCCTGGCTAAAAAATGTTTTGAAAAGTACAGATTATAAGAGAAACGAACAGGGGCATTGATACCCGATACGACACCTCGAAACTTTACGTCACGTAAACAACGCCTATGTGATTCAGGAAGTCCGTCCGTCCGGATGGTCGCGGGGTCACAGCAGGGCCCTGATCCGGTCGCCCTCGGTCTGGACGTGCGCCCTGGTGACCTCCGCGACGCTCCGGCAGCCGCAGAGCGCCATGGCCAGCTCCAGCTCTTTGTTCAGCATCTCGATCACGTGCCTCGCGCCGGCTTCCCCGCGCGCCGCCAGCCCGTACAACACCGGCCTCCCCACCTGCAATAAACACGCTCATCCTCGTCAGAACGAACGAATTGTCCACGGTTAGGTTTCTCTTCGAAACAGGCGCTTTGCTGTGTGCCAAGTTTAGTGTGTCTTGAGTTGCTGTGAGATCTGGGTGGAGGTGTTGGTTGAGTTCTTTTGTTATTCGAACTTAAAACTCTGTAATAGGTGTTTGAACTCCATTGTAAGCTGGCCTCCCAGCACTGGATCATGGGCTTTCGATAAGCTTTCAATAAAGCCGGGCGAATGTCTTTGATCTAACAGGCGAACAGCCCGTGCATGCCCAATTGCAAGAAGTCCTTGCTCGGACTCGGAGAGGAGCGGCATACGTACCATGACAGCATTGGCGCCGAGCGCCAGCGCCTTCAGCGCGTCGGTGCCCCGCCGGATGCCACCGTCCACCAGCACCGGCACGGCCCCCTCCACCGCCTTAACCACCTGCAATTCAGCGCACGACACCCGACCCCGGCGGTCCTTTGTCAGTATACGGCCGCTACAGCCGCACTTCGCAGTAACAGCACGCCCAAACGCTGACTGTGTCCCACACGCAACAAGTGCAGCGATCGATCGGGTAAATGCGTGGCGCGAGTCAGGAGGATAATAAATGTGGTCAGTCGGCCGGCGGTCAGTTATTACCTCTTCGAGCGCCGAGATGGTGGCTGGTGCATAGTCCAGCTGCCTGCCGCCGTGGTTGGACACGATCACGCCAGACACCCCCGCCTCCACGGCCTTCCTCGCTGCCCAACGCCGCCGGAGTCATCAGAGTTCAGTGACACATACAGTGACCATACCAGTTCTCCGGTTCAGCACCACGCATGCCAGTAATCCAACGCTGATATACTGATAGAGTATATATTATGCTAGTTATCATTCATTACCGTCTTCGGCGGTGACGATGCCCTTGAGCAGGATCGGCAGGCTGGTGATGGACTTGAGCCACTCCACGTCCTGCACGCACAAATTCAGCAAAAACACACCCCATCAACCCACTAGCCGTTTAATTGCCGGCAAAACGGCCCGTCATGGCATGGTCGCCTGTACAGTGATCCAAGGCCGCTGTGGCCAAGTACGGCGATGCATGCAATTCAAGGGCACTACGTGTCCTTTGGACAGGATCACAGGAGAAAGATGCCACTATATATTAAGTGCCATACGGCTGCTCAAAGAACAGGCTTTCAGTATCCAGTGTCAGCCCTTATGCCCGATGTTGATGCGTCCATGCACCACCCATAACTGTTCCATATGCTTGCCCAGTACTGTGGGTGTCAGACCACATGCTATGGAACTCGAGATTCAAGAAAGTTTATGGCACGGCCACAGTCTGCTATGTGTTATCTGTACGTACCTTCCATGACAATGATGGATCCAGCGTCTCCCGTGAGAATCGTTCCAGATTGGAGCCACCTTCCTAACAACACGATCAAGATTGCAAGACGATAATGGTTCAGTTTTTCAGAAAGAAAGGAGTTCGTCCACTGTGAACGAATTTTTGTAGCTCTAAACCAGAGATTTATCGAGCAAATGTTTCACTCACAGCACTTTCTATGTCGTTGTCTGATGACATTAAACCTTCAAGGTTTACAAACCGTGGAGCAATCATCCTGCATGAACAATCAGCTCAGTTACAGAACATCCCAAAATAAAACAAAAGGGAAAATTTTGCAACATAGTGTTGTTGAAGCTATAAATGTATTGACGACCTACCTCCATTCCAAATTATAAGACTTTTTTTTTCTACGCACGTAGCTTTCACTATGTATCTAGACAAAATGTATATCTAAGTGCATATATCTAGAAAAACCAAAACGTCTTATAATTTGGAATGGATAGAGTAACTGAAGATTTTAACCTCAGTAACAATGGGTCAGGAAACTGGAATTATGATTTGTAAAAGAACATAATTTCACTGAACTTTAGGAGATTTCAACAAAGATAACAAGCACTGTACTTGTTTCTAATATCTGCTTCACGCCTACCAATCACAGGCCTGTCAACTGTCAAAACAACTGCCTTGAATCCTAAACTCTCAGCCCGCCGTACCAATGTTGCCGAAACATCCCTTCTCTTGCACATCTAAGGTACACAAACGAATTTTTCAGAAACCAGGTAGCAGCAGAAAGGGGAATTTACTAAAAAAGATCAATGCCAACGCATCATACATATAACTGATAAAAGCGAATGGCATCGCAGCTGGAGGCAACCTCCTCGATTCTGCAGCTTGATGAGAAGGAAAGCACCTGTATGACATATATGAACATGTGTAACAATCTACATAGGGTCTAAAGACGAGTACATCACCAGATGACCCCCAAAAACAAATTCAGCAGTTACCATTATGGTGTTACATGCTGCGGCAGCTCTTGCTGTGGCCACCTCCCCTGAAATGAACATTTAACCAAGGGTTGTGGAGATAATAGCAAGTTTTATCACTTAAAACTTGGATGACTTGATTTTGTACCTTCTGGATTTGCTAATTTGTGTGCCCCTGTAGGAGCGACAATCATTGGCGATGGCATATTATATCCTAACAAGCTTGTTGACATGTCTATCTTACTCACATCTATAAGGACCCGTGGCCGTAACCTGTGTAATACACGCTGAAAAGTAAGGAACCACTTTTTAATGAGGTTGTAAATAATTGGTGAGGTGAACAGTACATAATTCTTCCATATGCTGCAATATTCTCCCTCAGTGTATACTCATCCTCTGCTCCCCCATTGATATAATCATAGTGCATCTTTGGTAGTGCTTTCTTGGCGAGTTTTTGATATTCCCGGACATTAATTGGTAGATTATCCTCCATTCGGCTACATTAACATGTTAAAAAGGTCATTCTTATATTGCAATTACAGTTATACATTGGTTTAGAAAATTAAGAAAAAGAGCCAACAATAGGTTCCTTTTTCAGTGCAGGCACTAAATCATTTCAATTTGGACAATACGAAAGTTTAGGATACTTGCATGCTTCAAAAATAAAAACTCTAGTATAGCCATTTCACTTCTAGCCTTTTATTTGGAATGGACGTTACCACTATACATTGTTCCTCAACTGTTCAAACTAGTCCAAAACCAGTAGATGGTAGAGTTAAGCAAAGTAGATTGATATTGATCTGAAGTTTACAATACAATTTTTCTCTAAGTGTGCACAACAGATCAGGAGGAATCTCTACATATTGGGCATCAGAAGAAGATTTAAGATAACCAAACAAGTGTGGCCATACTACTATTTTTGGTATAAAATGTAAATTTCCGATGCCTCGTCTTTGCCAACTGTACCCCTTCACAACCCTTTTAAGAAACAGTAGGACATGTTCATTTAACCAAAACAATTGAGCCCTCCTAGAAATGCAAATGTAGGGTAAAACTAAACTACCAGATGCATACGTAGTACTGCAATGAAAAGTACCAAGTTACAAAACTAGCATCTACATATTGAAGTGAACTCAAAAATTTATGAATCAGTTTCGATGAAGTCAGAAGATTCTAGTATTGCAACTGAAAATTTCAACCATCAGAAGTAAAAGGACACACTGACTAATTGATCCACATATGTTTTCAGTGAATACATTACATTCCAATTTACAGTTTTAAGTGTAGTGCAAAAATAATTACTGTAGATCGTACCTTTGTAGTGACTCTGGATAGAGCTGGACACAACAAAGCACAGACAACAAAAGGCAGAAAAATGGATTTCTACTCTTGATCTGTAATCAACATTGGGCAATAAAGGGGAAACGAGAAAATTAAAATGACTCTGAAATTGCTGTTCAGATCTAGTCCCTGACCTACTCATCACAACTGAAACAGAACTCAATCTATTCAGCTATTCATTGTTAGTTGCAGAATTCTCACTCTTGATAGTAGTAGAATTCTTACTCTCATCGAGAGATGATGACACTATGAGTTGGGGCAATTTTCTAGTTTATTTCTCACACAAACTCACACAAATGACATAACAACCTGAGAGGTTGGGGATACATATTTATAGGCTGCTAGCCAGTCAAGCATATGCTAAGATGCTAGTCTAAGATGCTAAGATGCTGTCCTAGCTAAGATGCTGTCCTAATATGTTGTCCTAGCTAAGATGCTGTCCTCCAGTCAGTTGTTGTCCTCCAGTCAGTCAAGGGGATGCTGTCCTTGCAGGCAGTCAAGGAGATGGACAGCCACAAGGACCTGCAGCCACCATATGCTGCAGCCAGCCCCACAAAGACCAGCCAGCACATGAGACTTATCCATCATTCTCCCCCTAAGTCTTGTGCGACGTCTTGTGGGAAAATTGAACCATCCCGGTCCTGGAGCAGAGCTCAAGGAACTTGATCCTCCCAAGGGGCTTGGTAAGCAGGTCCGCAAGCTGGTCCTTGGTGTTGATGTAGCTCGCCTTGATGCTCCCTTCCTCCAAGCAGCCTCGGATGAAGTGGTACCTCACTCGGATGTGCTTACTCCGTTCATGAAACACGGAGTTCTTTGCCAGGGCCAGAGCGGACTTGCTGTCCACTCTAAGCTCCACCGCTCTAGTGTCTCTGCCAAGGAGATCACCAAGCAGTCAAGCGAACCAGAGCGCCTGAGTCGAAGCGGTGGAGGCCGCTATGTACTCGGCCTCGCAGCTGGACAGGGCCACCACCTGCTGCTTGACCGACTGCCAGCTAACGAGGCACTTGCCGAGGAAGAAGAGGATCCCACTCGTGCTCTTGCTAGTGTCGATGTCGCCGGCGTGGTCGCTATCGCTGTACCCGACGAAGTGTGCCGCCCCAGGGCACCTAGGGTAGTAGAGGCCGTGGTCGAGAGTCCCCGCAACGTAGCGGATGATTCTCTTCACAGCCTGTTGGTGCTCCGTCGTCGGTCGCTGCATGAACCGACTAACGTAGCCGACGGAGAATGCCAAGTCGGGCCGTGTGTGGGCGAGGTAGCGAAGGCTCCCCGCAAGACGCCGGTACTGTGTAGCGTCCACCTCCTCCGTCGTGCTGTCACGGCTCAGCTTCAGCATCTCCTCCATCGGAGTGAGAGCTGGGTTGCAGTCGGTGAGCCCAGCTAGCTCAACGACGCGCTTGGCGTAGGCGGTCTGTCGAAGCGTGACCCCGGAGTCATCCTGGTGCACCTCGATTCCCAGGTAGAAGAGAGAGGCCCCAGATCACTCATCTGGAAGGTGGCCTTCATCTCTTCCTTGAATGCCACCACCTCCGCATCCTTGGTGCCGGTGATCACCAAGTCGTCGACGTAGACACCCACCAGCAGAGCATTTCCTCCACTGCCCCGTCGGTAGATGGCCGCCTCGTGCGGGCTTTGCTCGAAGCCCATCCCCTTTAGCTTGGAATTCAGCTTGGCATTCCACGCCCTCGGTGCCTGCTGCAAGCCATAGAGGGCCTTGCGTAGGCGGAGCACCTTGCCCTCCTTGCCGAGGATCGCAAATTCCGGCGGCTGGTGCACGTAGACCTCCTCCTTCAAGTCGCCGTTAAGGAACGTCGACTTGACGTCCATGCGATGAACACGCCAGCCCTCCTGGGCAGCTAGCGCAAGGAGTCGCACGGACTCCATCCGTGCCACGGGAGCGAAGGCGTCGTCGAAGTCGACCCCCTCCTGCTGCACGAAACCTCGTGCCACCAAGCGAGCCTTGTGCTTGACGATGGCGCCGGCTTCATCCCTCTTCAGCTTGTACACCCACTTAAGGGTGATCGCGCGGTGACCACGAGGAAGGTCAGCAAGCTCCCAGGTGCGGTTCTTCTCAACCGCATCCATCTCCAACTGCATCGCGGCGCGCCATGCCGCGTGTCTCTCGGCCTCTGCAAATGACCGAGGCTCGCCGTCGTCACACGCAAGGTGCAACTGCGCCTCCAAGTCGTGAGGCACCGGTCCCAAAGATCGGTGGTCGCCGAGAAAGGTTCTCCATCGTGACGGTACCATAGCGAACGACGCCGTGCCGTCGTGAAATGCGGCGTCGATGCGCTCCTCGTCGTGAGAGAGCGGAGTAGCGAGCTCAACCGGGCTGTGCTCGACACGAGCTGGTGGTGGAGTAGACGTGCCCGGAGAGGTGCCTGTCGGTGCTGGAGTGCGTGGCGTTGCCGGCTGTGGTGGAGCCGGCGAAGAACTCATCGCAGCCGAGGTCCTGGCTGGAGAGCGTGGTGCTGTCGGAGTAGCAGGCGCCGGGGTCGGTGGAGGCTCGGGGACTGGGGTAGACGCGCTCGTCGAAGAAGAGCTGCCTACTCCCCCAGCTCCCTCGAAGTGGACGTACTCGACAGTGAAGTCGTCGTACGTCGGAGCCGAGCCGTCGTCCACCGCCTTGTCCCACGCCCATCCTCGCCCTTCGTTGAACACAACGTCGCGCGCCGTGCGCACACGCTGTGTCTTCGGGTCGAGGATGCGGTAGGCCTTCGAGCCCTCCGCGTAGCCGATGAACACTCCCGGAGTGCTCCTGTCGTCGAGCTTGCTGATGTGGCCAAGCTCCTTGGCGAACGCGAGGCAGCCGAAGACCCGCAAGTGGGAGACCGCCGGCTTGCGCCCATGCCAAGCCTCGTACGGCGTCCTGCCGTCGAGCGCCTTGGTAGGCGAGCGGTTGAGGATGTAGACGGCCGTCACCACCGCCTCTCCCCAGAAGGCAGCCGGCATCCCCCTCTGCTTGAGAAGGGCCCGAGCCATCCCCACAACCGTCTAGTCGCGCCGCTCGACGACGCCGTTCTGCTGCGGGCTGTACGGCGCGGAGTAGTGACGCTGAATGCCCTTATCAGCGCAGTACGACGCGAATTCAGTTGCCGTGAATTCGCCGCCGTTGTCGGTCGCGCAGAGACGCGCGCTGACTGCGGCCGATACTCGCCTCCGTAGCGACTGCTGCAGCTACCGATGGCGTCCATGACCTCTCCCTTGCCGTCGAGGACCATCACCCATATGTAGCGGGAGAGGTCATCGACGAGCAGCAGGAAGTAACGTCGTCCTCCCGGTGTGGCCGGTGTCACCGGGCCACACAAGTCCCCGTGCACAAGCTCGAGCCTCACCTTGGCTCGAAAGCTCGCCCGCTGGGGAAAGGGGAGTCGCCTCTGCTTCATCAACACGCAGACATCGTAGAGCTGCTCCACATGGTCGAGGCACGGCAGGCCTCGCACCATCTCCGTGGCACTGAGCCGCTCCGGGGCCTCGAAGTGAAGGTGCCCGAAGCGCTCGTGCCACTGCCACGCCTCGTCGTCCCGATGAGTAGCGAGACAGAGGGGTTGTGCCACCTGCACGTTGAGGACGTAGAGTCGATTTGCGCTTCTGGTTACCTTGGCAAGAAGGCAACGACGGCGATCCCAAATCCTCATGACTCCATCCTCAACCACCACGCGTGAACCATTGTCATCTAGCTGTCCCAAGCTGATGATAGAGTTCCTCAACGCGGGGATATAGTAGACTCCGATGAGCAGCCTGTGCTCACCAGACACGGCGGTGAAGATGACAGAGCCGACGCCCTTGATCTCCATGCCGGAGGCATCCCCAAACTTGACGGAGCCTCGGACGCTAGAGTCAAGCTCGGTGAAGAACTCCCGTCGACCGGTCATGTGGTGGGTGGCACCGGTTGAAAGGTCCTAATATGGCTAGAGGGGGGGTGAATAGCCTATTTAAAAATCTACAAATCAACTAGAGCAATTTGATTAGTATGACAAATAGCGTAATGCAAACTTGTTCTAGCTCTACAAGGGTTGAAAGCCACCTATCCAACAATTCTAGTTGCAATGATTACTTAGGCACACAAACTTGTTATGTAACTACTCACTAAGAGCTCTCAATCTTGCTACTCTAAAGAGCTTAACTAGATGAATGTAAATAATAAAGCAAGCT